GTCAGTGATTGCCACCAGCACTTCACATTCTACAGGTAAGAGTGATTCCCTCAAAGACACTTCACTTTGAGGCAGGAAAATAACACTGTGGAGGATGGTAGGTGAATATGTTCTGGTGGGGTAAGAAAGTGGGTATAAAGAGGCCTTGGATGGGAAGGGTGGATGTAAACTCTGAGTCACAAAGGCTAGGAGTGACGGCAGAGACCCTGAGATTATCCTCTGTTTCATTCTGTTCTCCTTTCCTTCCCACTCTTCCTCCCTCAAGCTCTTTGCCAGCTATGGAATATTTAATATGGTCTTGGATTCTGTCAAAGCTACCTCTACAGCTTCCCTCTCCCTAGGGAATTTCTGGAAATAGTTTCAGCTTCTCTGAGACGATCAGGTCCAAGTAAGCACTGACTCTCCAGCCCCAGTGGTCTTGTCCTCTGGGTCTTGCCAACCTAAGGAAAAAGTCAGTTCTGGCCCGAGGTTAAGACGGTGGCTGATCACAATTTGGAATTTGAGCCAAAGTCATGGAACTTGAGCCTGAGAGATAAAAAACCAAACAATGGCAGGGCTCAAACAGTCCTAGGCATGGCCAGAGCCATTATCCAAAGAACAGATGTTTGGGGGATACTGTCTAAGACATGCCAATTGATCTCATGCAGAAATTATTGATACAGAAACCACTTGCCTCATTTCCCCAAGCTTGGTCTAGAACAGGGGTCGGCAAACTTTATCAATAAAGGCCAAATGCCTTTGTGGGCCACATAGGGTCTCTGTTGCAAGTATTGTACCCTGCTATTTTACCATGAAAACAGCTATTGTCAATATATAAATGAATGAACCTGGCTATGTTCCAATAAAACTTTATTTACAAAAACAGAAGGTTGGTCAGACATGACTCATGACCCACAGTTTTCCAGCCCCTGGTCCAGAAGAATCCTCAAACTTTAGAGCCTCAGAGTCTAGATAAACCCTGTCACTCTCAGATGAGGAAACAGAAACCCCGTGAGGGCAGTGACTTGCCCAGAGTCAAAGAGCAAGTTGATGTCTCCATACACTTACTTCTGATAGCTTGCCGGTGTTCTTGGATAGACCTAAGAAACAGATAGTTGAGCAAATAGGAGAGCCTGTATCTAAGACCCAGGGCCCCAGTCTTTCCTATTTGGAGGGGCCACTCTGAAGGTGCATTCAAATGGGACACAGCTACACCATCAACTCTACTGGAATCAAGAAAGGGAGCGTTTGAAAGCCATTTCTGCTTCCTTGGACACTCTCTCAGAGTCAGGCAGTCTTCCTGCGTGCTGGCCCTCCCAGTCATGAACTGTGGGGCAGCAGGCAAATCATTTCTCTCCTGGCTTCAACTCACTCATCCGTAATAAGGTGTGACTGAACTAAATAGCCACCGAAACCCTTTCCAGTTGTAACATCCTGTGACTTATTCAATCCCTGGCTACAGAACAAATTGACAAGTTTGCCCTGCATTTCTGAAGAGAAAGCACACCAAGAGTTACTCGTCTGGGGTCTCCAGAGAGGAGCTGCATTCGGTTTCTTCCCTAAGATTTTCCAAATCATCCTTGCAGTGTGGCTGAGGCTGTTTTTTAAAAGCCATTTACTTAGCAGACTGGTTTGCACCATGTCAGAGGGGTGATCCTTCATGCTTTTCTTGTTTTGTTTTGTTTTTGGAGAAAGGATCTTGCTCTGTCACCCAGGCTGGAGTGCAGTGGCATGCATCATAGCTCACCACAGCCTTGAACTCTTTGGCTCAAGGGATCCTCCTGCCTCAGCCTCCTGAGTAGCTGGGATTACTGGCAGGCACCACCACACCCAGCTAGTTTTTTGTTTTTTCGTTTTTTTGAGATGGGGTCTCACTATGTTGCCACAGCTGGTCTTAAACTCCTGACCTGGCTCCAAAATTTCAGCAACAAACTCCCTGCAGACATAAGAAAGCATGTATTTACTTCTAGCTCTTCTAAGGGTATGTTCTGAAGTAACGCAGCCAAAGAATGGAAAGTGCCCAGGAAGGAAGCATGAAGATTGAAAAATAGATTTCTAGGTGTTATTTGTTGTTATTTCTGTGGATTTCTAATTTCTTTCTGCTCCATCTAAGGTCTCAGCAGTCCTTGCCAAGTTAATCCCTGTGCAGGTGGCTCTGCATGTGTCGAGCTGAATGATATCCATTTCTGCCTGTGTTTAGAAGGGTATTACTATCACTCTTCTGCGTGTTTGAGAGGTAAGTCACAAAGGATGAGCCACGGCAGAGCTTTCTTTGTATCTCCTACCAAAAGTGGACTAGAAAACTCTAAACGATGGCAAAAAGAGATTCCAGAATCCAACAAAGTAGAGAAAAGTGCTGTTACCCGGGGACGTTGAGGCAGAATAAGGGGACATGCCTGAGATCACACAGCCAGCCAGGCCCGGGAGCCTGGGCTTCTGGCTTTGGTTCAGTTCCCTGTCACAGGACCTGCTTTCTCCGTAACAGCAAACCCCACCTTCAGAGACATAAGAGCCTCTCGGCTCGACAAATGGACGTTAGGAGCAAATTGAGACTCCCTTGGCATGATCCTTTTTGATTAGATCACTGAGTGCAATGAAGGTCCAAGACCTGACTGTCTGTTATAATCTCTTTTCTGCTTTATGAATGAGAAATATCCCCCCTGCCATAGCAGTCCAATTGAACAGGAAACTGAGGTACTGCCCACAGGGATTAGGGATATACAAAAAGCCGCCCAAATGCTCATATTTTTAGCGCTAATGACCTCATTTCTGGGGATCTACTTTAAATGACCCCAAATATAGAAAAAGGGTTTGTGCATGAAGGTGTTCACTGCAACATTTTTCTTTTCCTTTTAAAGGATTAAAAGTGCTAAGTCCAACAACAAAAAATGACTATATCAATGAAGGAGACATATACTTCATAGACTATTATGCAGCTGTTAAATGATGATTTTTAAAGGCTGGGCATAGTGGCACACACCTGTAGTCCCAGCTACTTGGGAGGCTGAGGCAAGAGGATTGCGTGAACCCAGGATTTGAAGGATATGGTACTCTATGATCGCACCTGTAATAGCCACCGTATTCCAGCCTGGGTGACACAGTAAGACCTCGTCTCTAAAAAAGAAAAAATGATGGTTATAAAGAGTAGGCAATGGGCCAGGCATGGTGGCTCACGCCTGTAATCCTAGCACTCTGGGAGGCCGAGGTGGGAGGATCGTTTGAGCTCAGGAGTTTGAGACCAGCCTGAGCAAGAGCAAGACCCCATCTCTACTAAAAATAGAAATAAATTAGCTGGACAACTAAAAATATATATATATAAAAAATTAGCCGGGCATGGTGGCGCATGCCTGCCTGTAGTCCCAGCTACTCGGGAGGCTGAGGCAGTAGGATTGCTTGAGCCCAGGAGTTTGAGGTTGCTGTGAGCTAGGCTAACGCCACGGCACTCTAGCCCGGGCGACAGAGTGAGACTCTGTCTCAAAAAAAAAAAAAAAAAAGAAAGTAGGCAATGATTTGGGAAAATGCCTATTATGTAATAATAAGTAAAAAAAGAAACATGGCATAAATGTGGGATTATAACAATGTGAATGGAAAGAAAGAGCTGGAAGAAATATACCAAAATGAAGACGGTTGTGTTAGGTTGCGGGGAACGGGTAACATTTTTTACATTTCCAGACTTCTTGTAGTGTCATCACATAATGTTGAGAATTCTAAAAATTAATCTGTGTTTTAGAACAAACTGGAAATGACTCTCTTTAAGTAGTACAGAAAGATTCTGCTTGACTTTCAGGAAAGACATTCCCTGGGAAGATTGCAGTAAAAGTATCAGACACAAGTGGCTTGGAAGAAGAAAATTCTCGGAACTATCAAGTCTTGTATACTGAAATTGTTAACTTTGTAAGTACTTCCCAGCTTTCCTTCTGTATAAGTATTCTTCGTTCTAACACTGAGTTGCGGAGTGTAGAGCTGGTCTTCAGATCGTACACATTGGGACGGTCATATCAGTGTTCTGAATAGTGAAATGTGCCCTTTTTGGTTGGCAAGCAGCAGCTGCCCTGAGCACCCCCGGTGCTGCTGGTTTTCATTGCCCAGGCCCCTCCCCTGGACCTTTGGACCTCCTCGTGGTCTTGCACCTTGACACACAGCCCCAGCATGGCAGAGGGCCTTCATAAGCTCGCTCCAGCTATGCCATGCCATGTCCATTGTTATGTAAGCTATTAACATAGTTTTAAATGGACAGATAAATATAATGATGTTTTAAAATAAATTATTTCTGTCCAGGCACGGTGGCTCACGCCTGTAATCCTAGCACTCTGGGAGGCCGAGGCAGGAGAAACGTTTGAGCTCAGGAGTTTGAGACCAGCCTGAGCAAGAGCGAGACCCCATCTCTACTAAAAATAGAAATAAATTAGCTGGACAACTAAAAATATACAGAAAAAAATAGCAGGGCATGGTGGCACATGCCTGTAGTCCCAGATACTTGGGAGGCTGAGGCAGGTGGATCGCTTGAGCCCAGGAGTTTGAGGTTGCTGTGAGCTAGGCTGACGCCACGGCACTCTAGCCCAGGCAACAGAGCGAGATTCTACCTCAAATAAATAAATAAATAAATAATTTCCACAGAATGAAAGAGAAAACATTTTAGAGATGTTTTTTCCTTTGTACATTCAAATTTCCATAGATTTCCATACTAGTCCAGTTTTTTTTCAATGTCTAGAAGAGCAACTACATCTGAATTAACACCTATTACTTTTTTTTTTTCCGTTGCCAAAAATGAGCAATAGTTTCATGTCATTTAGGTTATCGTGAGTGAGCATGGCAGCATGAAAGGAATGGATGTCTCCATTCTGGAACTACAGATGTTCTGCCTGGAAGGACTCAACAGAGAGCATCCAGCCAGTGTTTCTCAAAGTTTAGTTTTAAAGGAAAAAATATTAGCCTGAAATACATTCTAGAAGTCTAGGTGGAAAAATACTTTTAAAAACTAACGTCTTATTCTATGACAATGCCTTTCAATTTGGAGTTATATCAGTACAAGAGAGTTTTGTTATTAGAACTGGTAAAATGTAAAAATTTATTATCAAAATGATTTTACAGATGGTGCAGAGAGAGCTAGTGTTCCTGACCGCATAGTGGATTCCTGGCAATGCTAGGATAGAACCCGTGGCTGCCATGCCGGCTGGCAATGACTTGTCCTCTTGTCTTGGGTCTGCATTCAAATTTGCCAGTTTGGATGGTATTTAGTACATTGAAGATGGCAATGCCAACATGTTCCTACTTTCAGGGAACCCCTGAATTGCTTTGTGTGGCTTTACTGAGCCCTGGTCACTGTGGCCTCTACCTTCCTCAAACTTGGCTTTGGGTGGGAGTGTCACAAAAGCCCTCTCCCGTTACAGGCCTTAAGCTCTGGTATTCAGAGATCAATTTAGAGACTTAATCTCAGTCAGGGCGTGATGTTCTTGGGGGAACCAGTGAAGGGATGGAGCATTCTTATATTTTCTTAGAGAGTTTTAATCTAAAAGGTATATGCCAGAACTCCTTTGCAACCCCTGGAGTAGAGTGAGGGAAATAGAGACAGCTAACTTCCTTAAGGTCCTCTTAGCAGACTTTGCAGAAGCAGTCCCAGCACGGGCCCTGAGCAGTCTCCCCCGGGCTCATTTTCTACCCAGCTGGATCCGCATGGGCAGCCACACAGGGACTTGGAGTTTCTCTACTGGGTGCTGTGCCTAGCATTTTATGTGTAATATTTGTAATTCTCAAAACAGCCCTGTGGGGGAGATCGTGCTATTGTGCCCATTTTACAGATGAAGAATGGAGGATCAGGAAAGTTAAGTAACTGACGGAAGGTCACCCAGTTGATAAGTGAGGAGTTCAGGATTTGACCCTAGACCTGCCAGACCACAGAGCTGCTTCTCTTTCTCCTCACCTGCTGGCTCTGGCGTGCAGTGAAGGCCTGGTAGGCCCTTGTGAATAGCTCCTGCCTTCCTAGCCAAACTTGCAGCCCTTCAGATTAAGAGATGTTTACCCAACATCCACAAAGGATGACCTGGAAGAAAAAAAGAAAAGGAAACACTGTCTTCTATGCCAGATGCTAATTTCTCTACCTCTTCTTTGGGATTAAGAAAACTGTACGGACAGTGGGCAGTAGGGGAGCTGGAAGGAACCTTCAAGGTCTTCTAGCAAATTTGCTCCTAAATGGAATCTCTGGCCTCCGATGATTTGCAGAAATGCGAGCTATCCCTAATATTTAAAAGATTATAAAGAAATATGTACATATATATTTTTTTTTTTTATGAGACAGTCTTGCTCTGTTGCCCGGGCTAGAGTGCTTTGGTGTCCGCCTAGCTCACAGAAACCTCTTGGGCTCAAGCGATCCTCCTGCCTCAGCCTCCTGAGTAGCTGGGACTACAGGCATACGCCACCATGCCCAGCTGATTTTTTTCTATATATTTTTAGTTGTCCAGCTAATTTTTTCTGTTTTTAGTAGAGACAGGGTCTCATTCTTGCTCAGGTTGGTCTTGAACTCCTGAGCTCAAGTGATCCTCCCGTCTTGGCCTCCCAGAGTGCTAGGATTACAGGCATGAGCCACCACGCCTGGCCCATATCCTTATTATAAGGCTGATCTGGCTAACTAGGGCATCAGATTTATTTGAATTTGACTAGAATTAGGGAGGCATTTCTCTTTAATCTAAATCTAACATCTTTTTAATGCCATTGGTTGCCACAATCTTTTAACATGTTGGTCCCAATGGACACAAAAATAATAAAAAGTCATAGATTATGAAAAGGTTGCACCACCCCAGTTCAACATTCTTATCTAATAAATGTGGAGATTGAGGAAAGAGAAAGACGCCTGTGTGAAGCCATGATCGTATCTTTCACATTTAATTCACTTAGTCATCATTCAACCAGTTTTGTTGAGTATTTCCTGGGGAGTGCCCTGTACTAAGTGGCATGGGGTGGGGATGGGGGGAGGTTGTGTCATAAGAATGAGAAACCCCTGTTCTTGGTGTCAAAGGACTTACGTTGTAATTGGGACCTCCAACCCACCTCCACCTTATATCTGCCAGAGGTCCCAGCTTTACCTCTGGCCACTCCCCTATAAGAATCTAGAGTTGTCTCTGTCTTTAGAACACAACCACAGCCTAGTAAGATCCATCTGTGCTGGAGAGCCTTCCAGCTCACAAAGCCATGGATCATATATCCCATCTCATTTTCTACACATTATAGCCCTACATGGTGAGAATTACTGCTATCTCAAGTTTTCCAATGGGAAAAGCGAGATTCAAAAAAGTTAACTTACACAAAAGCTTACAAATGGAAAAATTTGACTTTAGGTATTCTTCCCAATTCAGTCTGCCCCCTTCTGGGCCACGCAGCCTCTGAACACTAGCGTGTGCTCTTCCTTCTTCCACTCCCTGTCCTGGCATTGCCTATTGAAGTGCTTTAAGGCCCATCTCCTGTATGAAGCCCTCTCTGGTTCTCTGCAACTGGAAGAGCATTTCTTTGAGTTTCCATGGTAGTTCCTATCTTTCTATGGCACTTCTCTCGCCTTCGTGGTGTGGTTCCCCTACTTGATCACAGAGCTGGGTCTGCCCATCTCTGTAATGCCTTGGGTAAGATAGGTAATTAAATAAATGCTCCTCGGGTAAATTGATGAATGCATGAGGCACACACATAGATAAGACCAACGAATATGCAAAACTTAAGACAAACTTAATAAGTTAATCACCTTATTTTTAGGAATATGATAATTGATTTGGCTGAGTGTTTTAGGTTTCCATCTTTTTTCTGGATAATTCTTACTTATATCAGACTCTTACTATTTTATAGCAAAGATTACTGAAAGGTGTTAGACTGCATGTTAAGAATAAATAATTTGTTGTGATGAACCATGTGTATTTATATAAAAGAATTTAGAAATTTATGTCAAAATCTGGATAGAGCATCACTTTTTAAAGTTTATTTTTTAACTTGTTGTTAAATCTGTTCTCCTCCACAGTTTAGTAATGTATTTGACAGTTCTTATGGGCAGACTGTAATTCTTACTGTAAGGTAAGTTTGCTATGGACCAATGGGGTCCTTTGGGGACAAGTGTGCCTAACTTCTGGTCTTCTCTTGAGTTCTCCATGTAACACTAAGGGCCCCTTATGGCAAGTCACAAGTCAAGAAGAGGTGATCAGTCTAAGCCCTGCAGAAAGGACTGTGTGCCTTGGCCTTGTCTCTGATGTCACAACAACTCTGGCCCGGACAGGCAGGGGCTGGCCTGGGGAGGGCAAGATGCTGTCTGTGATTGGCTACTCAGCAACTTGTGCACATGGGCATCATCTGGCCTGGCCTGTTTGGTTTGATCCCTTGGCTACAAACCACACCTAGTTAACCCCTGGAATGTGCATTCCAGAAGGCCAGGACATTGAACGGTTCACAGTCATCTCTTCCTTCTTACGGGGGAGTGAAGGGGACAAGAACATCCAAATCACACCCTTGGCTCCTGAAGGGCCAGTGGTGAGCTCTTTCTTTAGTAGCAACAAGTATTCACTAAGCACTTCGATATGTGATGACAAGTGCTGGGTGCTATTTCAGGATATAAAGGGGCAGAAGACTCTCGAGAAGTTAGCAATTCCATCTCAGCCTTCTCTGAAGCACATTAACACACAAGTACTGAGGCTGGGGAAAGAATGCTCTAAGATGAATGGAGTTACGTAGAAAAAGCAGCCCTGATGTAGTATTTGTGTTTTAAGTTTTACTATTATGTTTATCCTTATAAGCTATGTCAAATCCTTTGTGGAATAAGATAATGAATATATCTGTAAAATATATATATAAACACACATATATGTACACGTTAAAAATTTCACAAAAGGCCTCCTAAAGGTGGTGAGTGTCCAGCTTGATCTTAAATGGGGGTGAGTCTGATGGCAGCCAAGAGGCAGGTTTGCCTGGTGAGGGGCAGGCAGCAAGGAGAGAGGCTGGGCCTGAACGCAGTCTCTGAAGCAGGAGGTCTATAGCAGACAGCTGCTGGAGGGCTAGGAACTGTTCCTGGGGATTAGGTTTGGTTTAGTGGGCAACAGCCAGTTCATGTGTAGGGGGTGAAACAGGAACAGTGAGGTGGGGTGGAGTCAGCCACAATTGCGCCTGAATCCTGGCTTTGGCACTTTCCTGCTGTGTGACCAGGCAGGTGTTCTAACTTCTCTGAGCCTTCGTTACCTCATCTGCATAATTGAGATAATCTGATCAACTTCCCTGGCCCCTTGTGAGCAATAACTAAGATAAGGTTTGGAAGGTTCCCTGTACACAGCGCCTGGTACACAGTCAATTTCAACACCAGTCTGTTCCCTTTCTGGAAGGTAAGACCCTGCAGTGTGAGGAAGAGCTGGTCCCATAATGTCATTTTGGGGGGTCCCCAAAACTATGGCACTCCCTTTATTCTTAAGGAGTTACTAAAAAGGAGTCCAGGGTGTTTAGAGGTAAACCTTTACCTGTGAGCTCAGGGTCATGGAGGAGACAATTGCAGGGCCAGTGAACCTGGTTCTCACCTAGGAAGGAATTTCTTGGGTGCCAGTCCAATGTTCTCTCTCTCCTCTGAATCCCTAAGGTCTTTAGGTACTGTAAAAATGTTGGAATTGGAAGGATCCTCAGAATTTCTCTCTCCCAATCTCTTTTTGGACCGAGGAGGAGACTCAGAGATGCTATGACTGGTTTTGGGCCAGAAAAGACAGTGGCAGGCTTGGCTCTAGACCTTGTATCTTAACTCCAAGTCTAGCCCTCTAGTCATTTATACTCAAGTACACAGTAGCTCCGTTGTATCCTTTAGCTGTTTCACAGGTGTAAGGCCTTGCCTCTTGAATTAGAGCATGAGCTAATACTCTAGCTCATTCAACAAATGCGTTAGGGATGGCATTTTCTGTCCTAGCCCCAGTGCAAAGTGATGCCACAGATTTCAACCAGTATAGAATAATTTATACTAAGTTCCCCTTTCCTCACTGCCCTGTACATTCCACTGCCACCCGCCCCCTCGTTCTGTCCCGGATGAACTATGGTAGAACATTTTTAAATTAAAATTCTGAAGCCCATTTCATGTTTTTGGGCTCCCTTTTGAGGCGACTGTTTCTAAAAATAGAATTTGGTTCATGTTTTGGATTTTCTCGGTTGTGCTGAGGACCCAGCACAGCTGTAAACATTTCCTAAATAGATTAGCCATGTTTTCAGGTTCCTGAATATATTCAAAATGGCGTATAGAAAAAAATCTGGACAACAAAAATATATTGAGGCTTAAAAGCACAGAGCCACAAATCAGATAGGAAAGCTTTTTAAAGTCCTTTTTTTCCCTCAGTGGTTTATCACCTGATTCCTTTTGGATGATGAAATAATCACAGCGTGGCATAGCTGTACTTAGGCGGGAAAGGGTAGTGCTGATTAGGGAGGAAGAGAGGCCGTTACAATGTCTTGCGTAGCAGGCACTGGTATTCGATGATCTGCTTTGGTATGCTATGCCCACGTTTCCCACGCACCCCCACCCTTGTTTCAGTCCTCCTCTGGGTTGTGTGTCCAGGCCGGATCACGTGCCCACTTTAAAGCTGCCTGCTGAATTCCTGGCCCTTCCTGGGAATGACCCAGGCTCTGTATGGTTGGTCACTGCTCTCTCAGTGCACAGGGAGGAACAGAATCTGAGATTTAACAGCTCGGCAGGACACCTAATCTTGCTGTCCAACAGACAGTGACAACTTAATGTTTCAGATGTTACTGTTCCACTTGTGGTTAGCTCCAGGTTCCTAGATCCTAAAATTGATTATCCAATTTCCCTAAGCATCCAACAAGACACTGTTTTCACCGTAGGGTTTCCCCTGAATATACATTGCATAGAGTTCTCTGGGCCTTTAAATTGCCACCTTTGTGTGGCCCAGGCTTCCATATGTGGACCCCAATTGTGGAGATGGGACAGTGGGGTCAGGGTGAGGGCTGGGATATTTGGGGAATACGGGAGATTATAAGACCTATTTGTTGACCCTTCAGTTCAGTTCATCAAGTGACAGATTCATTTCATTTTTAGCACATCTGCTTCTCCATCAGCAAGATCTGAAATGCGTGCCGGTGACGAGGTTGTTACTGTAACAATAGTAAACATTTTGACACTAAATACAAATAAAACCGAGGAGAGTGTGTCTGCTTTAATTAAAAATGCAATTAATGGCACAAACTTTACAGATTATGTTTGTAAGTATTAAATAACTTTATTCAAAGTTTAACTAAAGACCTACCTCCCTTTTGTAAACCTTTTCATTCTATGTGAGAAGGGGGCAAGAACTGTCTATGACTTGACAGGTGCCTCCAAATTTCCTTTTAACCAATCCATCCTTCTACCCTTTCTTCTCTCACTTGCCTTCTACTCCTTTCCACCCATCTCCAGGTCATCAAAATGACTTTTGTTCTTCTCTTGGAAGGTATTAATGACCAGATGAATCATTGCTGGACAGGAGAAGATAAAGAAAGGAAAGCAAGAGGGCTTTACAGCAAGTTATAGCTTCACAAATGATTGTAGAAAGTTTCACCTATGCTATTTCCCCCTTTAGGCTGATACACAGCCCACAGTGTAGCTGTAACAATTCGCATTTGCTGTGTTACAAACCACCCCAAAACTTAGTGGCCTAAACCAACAGCCACTGATTCATTGCAACCCCATAATTCTAGGAGTTAGAATGTTGGCTGGGCTCACCGGATAGCCTGCTGATCTAGGCCAGGCTGACTGATCTCTGCTGGGCTCACTTAACCATCAGCTGGGTCAGCTGAAGGCTGACTGCTCTCAGATGGCTCAGCTGGGCAGGTTGTCTCTGTTCCACATGGTCTCTCAGCCTCCAGCAGCCCAGTCCAAAGGGTTTCAAGAGCAGTAGTTGTTTCTCAAGTCTCTGTTTACATCACATGTACAACTGCCCTAATGGCTAAAGCAATTCACATGACCAAGCACAGTGTGGAAGGGCCCCACCAAAAGACATGGATACGGAAAGGTGTGGATTTCAGAATCCAAGATTTTCATTTGTTAAATCCCAAAACTTATTAAAAGGCAGAGCGTAACAACAATGGAGTGGGGTGCTTTGTTGATACTGTTTTGCTGAATATATTTTTTAATTATTTGTGCTTCCCAGCGCAAAATCGGTGTGATTATTATGGCTGTGAAAAGGCTGACGATGACTGCGTCAATGGTTTAGCATGCGAGTGCAAATCCGACTGGGAAAGACCTAACCCACAAGTTGCTTTCTGTTTTGGTAAGTATTCCACCTGCTTCTTAATGTTCTTCACAACTCCTATTCTCTCTCTTTTTGAATTTGCAAAATACAAACTTTACTGCTTGAGTATCCACATGTATTTTGGAGTCCGAGTGATGTGAATTTTGGCTTTAGATGCATGGACCAGGACTGGGACCTTGGCTAGGAGCTGGCGAGGCAGGCCCAGTGCAGCTTAACGGAGGGCATGTCACGTGCAGAGGCAATGAGCACCTCACTGTACCTAGAACAAGAAATGCAAAAGAAATCATACTCTGTCACATATCACTTTGGGGTGGAAGAGATTGTTTCTTCACAAAGAAATCATTCTGTTTTGAAGCACCCAGTCCAAAATGTCCTGATGACTGCAACGGAGAGCACAGGCAGTGCTTGATAAAGAAGGAAGGTGGGACCGCCGAGTGTGCGTGCGTGCCTGGCTACGAGGAAGGTCCTGATAAGAACTGTCAACCGTAAGAGAAATCACTCTGTTTTTGTCTCGGAATAGCTGGAGCTAGGCAAAAAGGACAGAGCTTGCAGCACATATATGGGTTTACAGTCAGGAAGTAGGTAAGCTGGCGTAGGCTGGTAGGTACAGAGCATCATCGTCATCATCATCATGAATAGTTTTCGAGCATTCTCCATGTGCCAGGAACCACACTAGGTGACACCTATCACCCAACAATACTGTCAGGAATGTATTAGTTCCCCCTTTTCAGGTGAGGAAACCGAAACCGAGTGTCAATAAAATGCTCCAGCTCGCAGGGCAGCAAGTAAGTAGCAGAGCCATGTGGTGTCACAGCCTGAGAAGGTCCCATGCCTCTTGGGTTCAGCGTCACCCGAATTGCTGACTCTTCCTGGAGCTCAGAGGATGGAGTGTTCCATCAGTAGCAAATGAGCCCACACAGGATTGTATACCCTGCTCAACCTCCCAGAGCCCCATGGAAGGTGCTCTCCTGGAAGAATGGGAGGGTAAGGAAGACAAGAGAAAGAGGAGAAGGAGCAGGGGCAGACAGGATGAAAGAAGGATGGAAATGGAGATTGGAGTGGGAACTCTGACATGCTCCCCTTGGGGGCTCGTTAACACGGTTTCCTCTCGCTCACTTGTATTTTAGGTGTGCATTTGGCTACAGTGGACTCGACTGCCAAGACCGTGAGTACAGAAGTCTTGCTCTTATAAACAAGTTATCAAACGTCTGAGAAATGAACATTGAGCACATTCAAAATCCTGTCCAGTCCCCCAAAGTCTCTTGCTTCCTTCATAAAGAGGGAGAGACAATCTGCTCGCAGTTTGTTTTCTGGGACATGCCACCCGTGCTCACCCTGAGGTTACCGGCAGCAGCACCTCTGCTGTAGAAAATAACAGAACTCGGCCCAGGGAGTGGGCTGGTGCCTCTGGACTTGCTCCAGACCAGAGAAGGGGTCCTAGCATTATGTTGATTTCCTACATTAGCTTACATATGCATTATCTGCTACTAGAAAGGATAAAGACCAAGACACTCAAAAAATTTTGGTGATTGTAGGAAAGCAGACCTAGAAACCAGGCATTTAAATACTCAAATCTTTTTGTCTCAGAGCTATTTACTGGTTTGAGATGTGTTGCTGCAAATTCAGTTGTTTCTTTCCCTCCCATGCCCCACCTCCACCAGACTGGGACAATACTAACTTTAACTTTTAAATTATTTTATATTTTTAAATTTACATAATGACTAAATAAAGATTAATGATCCAAGTCAAAGGAAATACTGCTATATTTCCAGCCACTAAGACAGTGAGTAATGAGAGATGCCTTCCATTTCTACTGTATTTTGTTGTAAGGAAGGATTTGCTAAGTCATTTCTTCCTTCTGGGCTTTCATTTCCATACCTATAAAATGAGAGGTTTGAACCAGATGAACTTTGAGGTCTTTTCCAGATGTCACAGTCTCATGGCCCCATGAATCCACGTTGGAGGTGGCATTTGTGGGAGTCACATAGCAGGAAGAAACAAAAAGGTCTAGAGCAGCGCTGTCTGATAGAAATATCATGTGAGCTATCTATTTCATTTTAAATTTTTAAAATTCCAAATAAATTTTTTTTTTTTGGAGACAGAGTCTTGCTCTGTTGCCTGGGCTAGACTGCCGTGGCATGAGCCTAGCTCACAGCAACCTCAAACTCCTGGGCTTAAGCAATCCTTCTGCAAATACAATTTTTAAAAGTAAAAAGATATAGGTGAAGTCGATTTTAAGAACATCTTATGTTCAACCCAATATATCCAAAATATCATTTCAACACGTAGTGTAGCTGTAACAATTCGCATTTGCTGTGTTACAAACCACCCCAAAACTTAGTGGCCTAAACCAACAGCCACTGATTCATTGCAACCCCATAATTCTAGGAGTTAGAATGTTGGCTGGGCTCACCGGATAGCCTGCTGATCTAGGCCAGGCTGACTGATCTCTGCTGGGCTCACTTAACCATCAGCTGGGTCAGCTGAAGGCTGACTGCTCTCAGATGGCTCAGCTGGGCAGGTTGTCTCTGTTCCACATGGTCTCTCAGCCTCCAGCAGCCCAGTCCAAAGGGTTTCAAGAGCAGTAGTTGTTTCTCAAGTCTCTGTTTACATCACATGTACAACTGCCCTAATGGCTAAAGCAATTCACATGACCAAGCACAGTGTGGAAGGGCCCCACCAAAAGACATGGATA